CATTTCTCCAGCTTAGAAGAAGAAAAACTAAAATTCTTATGCTCCAGATAAACTGCACTTCTGTTAATTAAAACTCTTCGTCCTCCTGCCTTTTATGACATTCACTTTGGCTCTGGTTTTATGTTAGACCTTCATGTTCAATTTTCTGTTACCTTCATGTTTTACCATTTAAAAATAATCGAACAATTAATGTATGCATATAAAATTATGTTCTCATTTTTCCATTGAAACTTTAAAGTCACATTGCAGCTCACTTTAATCTTGGTAGGAATAAATAGTAAAATGTCTTGTTGAGCTTTGATGAAACTATAAAAGCATATGAAAGTCTTAACATTCTCACCTTGTTCACTGTTTGCTACGAGAGGTCCTCAAATCCTTCAGTGACTCTAAAAAAGCTCATTTAAAATCAATCAAGGAGAGATCAAGGAGAGAAGCTCCCAGCATTATTCATGAGTTGGTGAGTGTGATGTGATGTGATGTGATGTGATGTGATGTGATGTGATGCGGAAAACAAGACGTGAACTGGACATGCACTGGGACTGGGGCACCAGAACCGTTTCAGATTCGTTTTCTTAAAAAAAACCCATCAAATACGACATTTTACACAAAAATACAAAGTAGGCCATTGTCTAAGATACTACGTATGTGTATGTGTGTGTTGTTCACACTTTTCGTGATTTAAAAAAAAAAAAAAAAAAAAAGGAAGACTCCTTTGACAGATGTTACCTACAGGGCAGTTCTGTACTGCCCCCTGCAGTTCTGTACCGCCCCCTGCTGAATAAAATATGCTCTACGACAGACATTCAAAAAATCCCTGGAAAATTAAAATATACAATCATGACTGAAGACCAAAACAACTTAATGCAACTTGGCATTGACTCTTCCAAGTGTGTGGCGCTCCACTGGAGGAGAAGAACGGATATACGTCTGTTATTATTATTTTCCTGATTTAGTGATTTAATGTGGAGATCTGGCAAACACACTGACCTCCAACACTTTTTTCTGCCAGCATGAGTTTTTGACTTATCTCGGGCGACTTTTGCTGTCCTGTGGTTTAACTTTAACTGCTAAACTTTAAAATCATCAACAAAGTACCTATGGGCCAGAGACATACAAAAGTCGTACAAAAGATACTTTAGCAACTCCAACAGCATGCATAATACTGCCTAAAATTTGAAAATTGTTTAAATATGTATGATAAAAGTCAAAAGTTGACAAACACTAAGAAATAAATTAGTACATGCTTTAACTGAGAGGAATAAAAATGGAAAAATAATTTAAGATTTAATTTCATGAATGCCCAAGGAATGAAAACAGACATCACTGGATTGGGATGAAATATTAATATGATAATTTGATCAATATTTTTCTAAAACGTATTTTCTCCTTTTGAAGAAGGTGAACCACATTAAGATGCTAAAAATCTGAGATGAGTTATATCTTTAAACAAACCCCTCATAGCGCATCGTTTGATTCCATGCTAGTTGAAAAATTCTTAATGCTTACTCTACTTCTTTTGTAACCGACCTTTCTCTTTACATTAGCCATATTAGAATCGAATTATTGCATTCTTCATCCAACAAACTAATCTCAGAAGTATAAATTGAAAGTTTTTTCATTGCTTCTGTAACTGACGTATAGTTAATGTTCATACAGTATGGCTTTAAATAATTTGTAAAATGAGAACTTTAGTCAGCATTACACACTAAATGTACCCAGTTTGGACGTTAGGTATGGCTGAAGAAAACTAAGGGAGACATGGTGTGTATCTGAGATGCATTTTGGGAGTTGTGCAACTCAGCGTTTGAAGGGAACACTAAATTTTCCTGTTAAATATTTATGAATATGATAATGCAGTAGACTTTGGAGACCTTGATTTCTCCTGTTAAAGGCTACATGCACAGCAAACAAAACCCATAATAACAGAGTCAAAGATAGGCTTAACCCTCACCCTAAGCAGACAGAGGCCCATTATGCTTTCAAGGCTCTGCAGTATCTTAGAGATAAGAGCACCTGCACATCCAGAGCTGTGTGGTCTGTGTGGTCTCTGCTCTGTTGCAGTGAAATATCTAAAGGAATTTAGCTCATGTAAAACAGATGGAATCATCTGTCTCTGAAGATGATGGTGTCCTTCTTCATGTCAAAAACATCAAACTCGAAACACTATCATTAAGCAGCTGCTAATAAAATAAATACAGGGAGAAAACAACAGTTGCCAAATCACAAGGCAAAAGTTGTGGTTATAATTTAGTTAGCTAAAGCACCTGTGAACAGCTGGGCATGCAATCTAGACTTCTTATAACATCAGTTACAAGAAGAGCAGCACATTTCTGCTGAGTTAAGTTTGTCTTTAAATTCATAACTTAGATCTGGGAAGGAAGTCACACTGGAATTGAGTGTAATGGTGATATAGAGTCAACTCTGGTATGTTGGTTTGTGCATAAGACTGACATGACACTGTCAAAAACATAACATCTGTCAGGAACATAAAGAAGTCTTTATGAATGTTTATGATAGTTGTCATGAAGTGCATTGAAAGTCCATTAAAAATGCCAACTTTGCATTAAATGATCATAATTTACAAAATCATGCAAAGTTGGCATTTTTAATGGGCTTTTAATGCAACTTTTAGAGCAACTTTGCATTAAGTGTCATTATTGACCGAATGACACTTCATGACAACAGTCATAAACATTCATAAATACTTCTTTATGTTCATGACAGGTGTTGTGTCATTTTTATGACAGTGTCATTCATGTCAGTCTTATGCACACTCCTTCAAATAAAGTGTTACCAAAGGACCTTTAAAAATATACTTTTCATTAATCTGTATTAAATATATGTAATATTATTTGAGATTTTGCTATGAATCTATTTTATATGTACCACTTAGTAAATTGAGTTATAGAAATGAAATATTTTTATTGATATTCAAATTTATTGAATGTTGTAAACATTTAGCTATATTCATCCATGAAGCTTGATGAATCCAGTGAATCACACCATTATGTCAGGTGACCTGTAATAATAAGCAAGTCAGATAAAAGTTAATATTTTTGACTGAACTGACAGAAATTAGCCATAAAATGGGAACTGTACCTTTACAAAAAAAAAAAATACTTAAACACAAATGGGTCCATGAACAAAGTGAACTAAAAACTTTTTCTGCAAGGAAGACATTCTGTTAAAAATTACTTCTCAAAATTTGACTATTTAAACAATAGACAAACTAAGAATTGGGTTAATTGACAACGTGAGATGTTTTTATTATGATTAATTAATTTATTGATTGATTTTGTTAGCCATTGTGTCCTAATTCTGCTTATTGCAATATGGGAAGAAGATAATAAAGTTTAACATTTCATTTTGATTTAGTAATTTTAATTCTCTTTCTTTCATGACCCTTCTATATTTCGCAGAAGCTTGAGGCAAACCTAAAAACAATCAAATGTCAAAGCGTCTCCGTACTATAGAGGAAGTATGATTTACAACAAGCACCTGCCCACGAAGAGAAAGGTGCATCAACTGGAGCCCCTGAAGAGTCTTACAGCATGCAAAGTCAGGAGGGTCACAGAAATACATATTATACCTGCAGCCACTCAACCCGCCTGCCACTCAAACGCATTTTTCTGCAGCCGCACCTTGCATTAAACAGAGGAAAAGGAATGAGTAGCTGGAGGGGTGGATGGCGAATGAAGCGGGAAACACCCATCAGCCCGCTGCAAGTCTCAACTGAGCGGGCTGAAGTTAAGCTGCCCGAAAAGAGGCACGGTAAGATAATTGGGATTTTCAAATTCCCTTTTCAAATTAAAAGAGAAGCTTGGACTGCTGGCTTGACTGCACCTAGGAGGGGATTAAGCTATTTAATTGAAGTGTGTTGGATCTAAGAGTTGCAGGTCATTTGCACTCGAGGACCAGGATTATCCACCCCTGCCCTATAGTAAAGTTCTTGCCCACATGCAAGCACACAGACATACGCAAATCTTACTTTTTTGGTTTCAGCACAAACTGGCCCAGTTCGTCGTGGGTGCACACGCAGTGTTCCTGTCTTTTTTTAAAACTTGCCTGGACGTCCATAAAATATATACTGCACAGCTTCTTCAACTTCTTATCACCAGAGCACAATAACCACCATCTGAAGTGAATTGTGGCATTGGCCAATAGCTTTTGTAAACACAATGGAGCTGGGCAAACTAAAAGAAAACTCCAACTCATGGTGGACTCCTGTCTATTAATGAGTCAGTATTAATGGATTCCCTTTCACCTTCAGATATTCTGGGGAATGCAACTTATTTGCAGAAAATTTGCCAATTAGATTATTTTCCTTGCAGTATATCTCAAACATGTGAAAGGAAATGCAGTCTGGAAAGCTGAAATACCTAGGCGTATTGGTACTTGACATTCTATTGGCTGGCTTTTCCAAAGCTAGTCAATAGCAGCCATTGTGGAGTGGCATCTATTTTGCTTGGGGTTGATTGGCTGTACCCCAAAGTCAAGTCAAACTTTATGAAGGTGCAATTTGTTGTGAAGACACAAAACAGCCACATATTAGTTATAGGCAGTTTGAAGTGTTTTAGAGAGGGACTAATATTAGCTATTTTCATGTGCAGCTATGGTTCCTTACTTCCAGGGTCCACTGCATTCCCTTCGGGGAGCCACCTTGTGTAGTGTTTGTACTACATATGATGTGTGATTTTCTGTCAGTTAAAATATTTATGTCTGTCAAGGAGAACTGATTTATAAAGTTAATAACAATGAATTTTCATACTACAAATCAGACAATGAAATCTGTGGCTTCGAGGTGTCTTAACAAGAGTAAACCTAACATAAAACAAATCTGTATGGATTTTAGTTCTGTGCCGCAGTGGCAGAAGGAGGCGTTCAAACATATATTGAGACGCCAATGAATAAGGTCAATAGAGGTCTATGGATAATAAATATTCATTTCGGCACCCTTGGTAACTACGTATTTTATTTTGAAATTCCCCACCGGTAGTCTTGTGTCTCATTGAGTGTAACTTGACTCCAGGTCGTTCAGCCGAGAGTTGTTGAACGGACCGAGTCGGGGAGTCTGTGTGGGACCAACGATCCTGTGACTGAGGTGTCCGGAGGGAAACGGCAGAACCTGGAAACATATGATCTGAGAAGGTAACGCTGCTCTGCATTCACGCTGCACAGACCTAAAAAAAAAAAAAAATCCCGCTCTTTGAACAACCTTTATATTCCACCTCAGCGCGTCTCAGTTGGGCTGCTGATGGCGAGACGTGCAGATCTCACCTGCGCTCAAATCAATTAAGGACAACTTCCGTTGCTTTTCTTCACCTGAAACAAAACAACAGCGAGTCTGAAGGCGAGTTAATATGTTAGCTCATCTAGAGGATCAACTTGTTTTCTCTGTAAGAAAAATAATAAATGCTCATTGATCTTTTACATACGATGCCAACTCGCTGAAATATGTCTGATGCCAAAACGAAAGTTAAGACTGAGCTGAGAATGTAAACGTTTATTGCCATGAGGAATTTACTTGAAGTTTTTTTTTTTAATTTTCTTTTGTTTTGCTTCTTTTTCTTTTCAGTTAAGTTGTTGTCAGTTGTAAAGGTATTTTAATTATAATTCTGCATTTCTAGTTGCTTGTTTTTTGATGTTCATGCAGACAAAAAACGGGATATTCTAAATCAAGTTGGTGCCCTCAGGTTTTACTTGCAGAGGATATCTAGTTTTCCCTCTGTATTATTAGTGAAAACGCAGCTCTTACAGGTGACAGCTGTGTCTGCTGCTGCACCTCTATCCCCCTGGAGTAACATGTTTTCATGCTTGATGCAGCTTGAAAGACTCGCATGAAGCTCATTCCATTGCCAGCTCTCCTAACCCTCCTCAGCTCATATCAAAGATTTCCTTTACAAAAAAAAACTAATAATGATTGGAGGAAAACCTCTGTTAAGATCACAGGACCTGGTGAAATTCTAAAGCTTGCATGCATTTTTTGTGGTTCTTGCAGCTACATTTCATCACATTTCAATTCCAAACCAGTTGCTAACTTCTTACTGGACTTGATTAAAATTTCTGCTTGGCACAAATACAGTTAATTCTACAGAGAAGACTATAAATGGTTTAAATTCTAATAATATTTTTATGCCAAAATGGCTTGCCCAGTTAATTTGAGATATGTTGATTCATTAAATGTTCACTATCTTTTAGTTTAGTTCTGTGATATTGAGAGGATGTTTGCAACGGCTGCATGTGTTACCAGGTAAAGTGAGTAATAAGTTCTTATTTGATCTATGCCAAAGTATTTATAGCCCTTGATCTTTTTCCCATTTGGTCATGTTAAGACCACACTTCTAGAAAACACCCTTTAATTCACAGTTGTGCACTTTTCTAATACAATACATTTCAATAAAAGCGAGTTTTAAATTTTGATCCAAGTTTCTCGTTATGCATAATGAATTGTGAAAAAAGTTATTTGGTTATGGATACTTTTGGAAAATTCTTGAATTGGAAGAGTAGGTACAATTCATTAGTCTTCCTGCTAGCTTTTTAAAATTTTGTCAAGTGTTCTGATTTTTTTTTCCCTCAGTTACTTATGGTTGCTATTAAGGAATAGATGATCTACTAATTTGCACTGCATGTAAAAGACTTGCCACAGACTGATTCACTGCTAAACAGATTAAAGAACATAACATTTCTCAGAATCTATAATGAAATGCTCAATGGAGGCTAAGTGGAAAACTGAAGTCTGTCACCTCCTTCTGTTTCTGATCATTTTTTGTAATTCTATCCTTCCTTCCTTCCTGCCTCCTTTGTTCCTTCCCTTCTTCTTCCTATTCCGCTTAAACTCAGGTGTTTTGTGTCCTCTGGTCACCTGGAATCAGGATGCAGTTCTCAGTCAGACTGAGCTTCTTCCTGCTGGGCTTTGTTTTCATCGCAGTGTTGCCTCACACAGCAAAAGGCCAAGGTAAGTACCACTGCCTCAGTACTCATAAGTGTCACCAAAGACAAAATGACTTACAGCAAAGGACCAAACATAACTGAGGTGGGCTTTTAATAATAAGGACAGGCAGTATAATTGGAAGGGCAATAAACTTTAGAAGATAGTGAAAACTTGCAGGGCTTTGAAAAACAGAGCTTTATGTGTTGATTTAAAACCTGGCCACAGGTTTGAGGGGTTCTCCAGCAATTTGATTGGAAATAGGATGGAAGTAGGCAACAGTGGCAAGACATGCCTACTAGATAAGGCCCACTTACTTTAGATTTGAATTTCAAAGAAAAAACTACAATGAAAAGCAAAATTAACAATGTGATAACGATGCTTAATTATTACATTTGGAAACTCTGAGTTTGGTCTTTTGCTTTTACCATTTCACTTTTAAAGTTTGTATTTCTTTTTACTGTTTCCTTCTCATGTGCTCTGATCTTCCTGTGCCTTTTAAAGGGAAAAGCCATGATGATAAAATCATAAAAGATGATAGAAGTGGATTCTTTTGCTTCCATAACTCTTTAACTCTACTTTTTGAACCTGCTGATTTGTGTGCACGTGGTGTATAAGCTGCACTCTGGCTACAGATTTTGAAAATGTGGAAATGATGCAAATGTGGAATCTCTTGATATTTAAAAGCCTAAAATGAAGCGTCTTTTCTGTTTTATTGGTTTTCATTCACAGATCTTTGTATAAAACAAGTAAACTTCTAATTTAAGTTTACACTTTCACTGTCTTCAGCTCATTTAACATTGAAGCAATTAAATAGACTTACTCGTTGCCTGATTAGTCTAAAATGAGTTTCCTCATCATCATTATCATAATGACCTATTATACACATCAACTTTTTAAGAGGTTTTTGTTCACCGAATGAAAATGATTGATTTGTGTTCCTATTTAATTAGTTCTGCTTGTTTTCCAACATTATCCAAACATTAGAGCTGGAATAAAGTTTTCAGTTTTAATTTGTTGGATTTCAAGTGTTGTGTGAGGCACTAAAAACATTTTCCCTTGAATCAGTGCAAGGATTTCATTACAGCGAGACACCTCCCTTGTTGGAGCGCTCCCACAGGTTTTTGGAATTGGTGAACCTAAAACAGGACTGCACTGAAACCGATTTCACGTTGACGCCAGCTCCTTAACCACACTAAGATTACATATGCTGACGCTTTACCACGTCATAAAACAAAATTGGAGGAACAAAGGTCAGTATGAGATATATTTAGTTGAAAGAGATTTATGTTATAGTAATTTCTTAAGGTATTTCATACAAAAGAAAGGGGACTGGGATTACCACAGCTCCGTTTCAGACGGTGTTGGGCAGTTACGGTGTCTGTCTGACGTGTTGATTGGTTGTGAGCAAACCATATTCCTACTGCCACATTTTGTGTGCAGGATCTTTTCCAAGCTTCTTTTGCAGAATTTTTGCACAGCCATATAACAGCCTCCACAAATATTGCCAGCCCAGTGAAAAATGTATATAACAGCCTTAAAAATAAATTGTTGTTCCACGATGTTGGTTGAGGCTTGACAAACTTAGGGCTTTGTCCAGTTGTAATCTAAGGCTTTTTCAGCATTTATCTGACATATGAGAAAGTTTGTGGTCATAGTAACTTTATTATCACCATTTCAAATTGAAGTTATTTTGTTTTTTAGTTCATCATATGCTAAGTGGTTCGTAACAAAATGGCATCAGTTATCAGAGACCTATTCCAAGATTAAAAATCTTTGGATAGAAGATGGAAATCTCAAATGCACTATATTACCTCAAGTATTTGTTGGTCTGGCTTCAAGCAGATGGGAACTTAAATAACATCCCATAACTAATCCAAATAATTCAGTTATAACAGGTTAAGCTTTTCTTGAAAGGCTTTCCATGTGGTTTAGGAGTATGTTTGTCGGAATTTCTTCCAGAAGAAAGATAAAAAAAAAGTGAGGACAGACAATGGTGTTGGACAAAAAGACTTGACTCATAGTCCCAGCTTTAACTCAACCAAAATGTGTTCTGTCAGGTCTCTGTGCATCTCAGTCACATTCTTCCACACCACATTTGCTCCTTCTTGTCTTCATGGACTGTACTATGTGCACTGGTGCTAAGTCATGTTGGGAACAGAGAGTGGATATCTCTGTAAAGTTCTCACTAAGTTGGGAGCATCAACCTGGAACTGAAATGTCACGGTATGCTGATTTAAGAGTTCCTTTCAACAGAACTCCAGAAAACAAAACAAAACAAAAAAAACATCCCCACACCTTGACACTCTGCCGACAGGGACTGGAATGCTTTTCTCTGGGCAATTCTCAAACTCTTGAATACCAGACAGGGAGGCTTTATTTGTCACTCCAGAGAACACATCTCTGCAGTACTAGAGTCCAGTCTAGTGTGCTTTGCTCCACTGCGTCTGACACTGTGCATTCCACTTGGTGATGTAAGGCTTGGAGGCAGATATTAGGCCATAGTAACCCATTCCACAAACTCTTTTCTTTACCTGTGTGATGGCCATATGAGGTTTGTAGGTCTGTGGCCATGTCAATCCGCTATTCACCTCAGGGTTGGAGTGCCGGACTGGAATGGGTTGCAGACGCAGTTGTTTGTGGAAGATGTCTGTGTGCCTAGGTGCTTGGTCTTAAGCACGTGTGGCAGTAGAAGTGGTTGGAACAACTTCACAATTCACTACGCTGGATGGGTGAGCAAATATTTGAAGCAATATAGTATGGATAAAGACACAAAAACAACTATGTAAAACGGTTGCCATAATACAAATAAAGTCATGGATTTATCATAATTTCCTGACTGATGAAGATTTGCACATTTCCGCCTTACAGGAGATGCATGTTCTCTAATCCAGTGTTTTTCAACCTTTTTTGAGCCAAGGTACATTGTTTTAATTGAAAAAAATCACGAGGCACACCACCAACCAAAAATGTAAACAAAGATACTCTGTAGTCACCTATATTATATGTATAGTCATTCTTATCAAAGTGTCTTGAATAGGAATCCAATAAACACAAAAAATTATTTTTATCATATTTTACATTTCTTATTTCAAATTGCACTTAACATGTCCACTTCAAAAATACACCTGAACAGTGCCACAACACTGTCGTGTGTGATGTATGAATAGTAACATCACTAACATCAGTGATGCATGAATGATACTATTCATGCATCACTAATTCTCTTGTTTTAATGTAAAATGCTCTGTACCTATACTACCATGATTACGCCTCTAGTCACTACTACAGCAGAGACACTCAAAGATGGCATTATTCGCAGATAATTAATTCATTTTCAAAAAATCTTTTAAGATCAATTACCGTATTTTCCGGACTATGAGCGCACCATACTATAAACCGTACCTTCAAATTTTTTGAAGCCCCCCGTGCGCCCCGGAAACTTACATATATCAGCCGCACCGGGCTACAGGCCGCTG